TGTTGTGTGTGTGTGTGCTATGCGTGTTGTGTGTGTGTGTGTGTGTGTGCGTGCGTGAGTGCGTGTGTGTGTGTGTGCGTGTGTGTGTGTGTATGTGTGTGTGTTTGCATGCGTGTGTGTGTGTGTCTGTGTGTGGACGCCCTCGTGCCTTGGCCAGGAAGGCAGAGAGTTGGCTGCCCCCCGCCCCTCCCAGGGGCCCCGACCGATCCCGACCTCGGGCCCGGGCATCGGGCCAATCAGGACCAGCGAGGCGGCCCGCTGACCCTGCCCCCCCTCCTCCTCCTCCTCCTCCTCCTCCTCCTCCTCCTCCTCCTCCTCCTCCTCCTCCGCTTCCTCCCCCCACTCCTAGCACTTTCGATCAGGGTCGGCGGCACCGGCCGTCAGGCCTCTCCAATAGTTGAAGGGGGGGGGGGGGACAGTGAGCTGGAGTCGGCGACGCACCGCCGATGGCGACTCCGAGCGTTCCTGGGCGGCGTGGACTGTCGCATCCCCAGGGGGGGGGAAACATTGAGCTGGAGTCGGCGACGCACCGCCGATGGCGACTCCGAGCGTTCCTGGGCGGCGTGGACTGTCGCATCCCCACCCGCGATCGGTGGGCGATGAGGAGTCGAGGCTCCCGCCCTGAGCCCATCCACGCCGCCCAATGGTTTTCGGGCCATAGCTCGGGCAGCTGGCGACCGTGCGGCCAGAAGGCCCCAAGAGACTCCAACGAGGCACCCGGCAGGCATCGGGAGGCCCCCGGGAGGCTCCTCAGCTGCCCCCCCCAGAGGCACTTTCGCACCCACCGCGGTCATCCTCACATCCCCCTGTAGCGTTGCCCCTGATGGCCCTCCCCCATCGTCAGGTGGCGACATCCGAACCCTCTGCCCCTCAACCAGCGACTCTGCAGAATCGAGGGAAGGCGGGGGCAAAGTTTTGGATTCCGCCTCGTGCTCGACGCAAACCGAACCCTGCCCCCGCCGGCTGTCGACTTGCCAGAATCGTCGATCGGCGAGGGTAGGGTTCGGACCTCGCCGCCGACTCCTGGGCCTGGGGACAGTAAAAAGTACCGATACCGCTACTCCCCAGACCTCCAGGAGAGCCCAGAATCGAATCGATAAGTCGGATCGGCGATCGAAATGAATCGGATCGGCGCAAACCGGCAGCCGAGTCGGGAAAAGACGAATTGGCGGACATCGGCAGGCTATTAGGCCTCTATTGAGCGGACTCCGAAGTCTAATCGGAATCGGAAGCCATGAAATCGAATCGAATCGAATCGGAGGAATCGAAATGAGCCCTGGACCTCTCCTGGGTTGCGTTCTGACCCGGATTCCGAGGCGAATCTTGCGGTGGCGACGAGGGCCAGGATGCCCGAGATGGCGAGAACTGGGCAATGGCAGCGGCATCGGTACCTTTGCATCCTCGGATAGTGCAGTGGAGGCCAGTCCAGAAGAAACCTTCCACAAGACACCCAACCCTGAGACCCCAGGACGTCCATCGATTTGTGGTGTGGGAACGTCACGCGTTCCATAGCAAAACCATCGAAACTCAAGAAACCCAGGGCACCCTGGAGGCAAGCAGGGTGTTTCTTGGCATGGGTCGCCACTGTAAGCAATCAAGGTGCCATTGACCCTTTGGAAGGGAACCTAAGCTAGGAGGGCCAAACACATTAGAGATAGGGGCCTCCTCTGCAGATGTATCAGACCAGACCGCCTAGAATCAGCATCCCTAATGCGAAGACGGGAGACCTAATTGAGGCCACGTCTTCATCGTGTTATGAGGGGTAGGGTTATTTTGTTCCCAATGTACTTAAGGACCATATCCCCGAAATAATTTCGAGCATCCCGAGGAGAAGTATCGAGACAGTGTCTGCCCGACACGCTGGCGAAGTGCCGCACGAGTATCGCCTCCCAGGGCCCGACAAGTGAGAAAGCCGTCCAGCTTCGATACTTCCTTGGTGCTCGAGACTCGTTCTGGCGAACAGGGCTAGAGTAGGTTGGAACCTCACGAGGTTAGGCGTGGAACAGGGCTCGGGGGTCAGGTGTGCAGAACACGCCGAACGGACGCAAAGGGGCGTAACGAACCTGCTCGGCCAAGCTGAAACTGGTGCACCACACCCGGCGTCAAGCCAAAACCTTGAACATCATGAGCGAACGGTTGGACGTTGGACCTCTCCCTCGGCTCAACTGGCGAGGCGTCTGGCCACCCTGACGCCCCCCTCCTGGCGGCCCTGCAGAGGAAGGCGCTCTCTGACCCTCGGCCCGACACGAGTCATCGGGGGCTCCGTTGCTCTCGACGACTCGGCGGTGGACAAACCTCCCTTTCGTAAACCTCCCTTCAGTGAAAACGGCCTGGGACCGAAACCGACGGACCTGAACCCGCAACAAACGACGGCCGCGGCGCCCTCTCGCGAACCGAAAACGCCCAATTCCTTGACCGACGTGTCAGGGTAGGAGGTCTGTTCACCCCCGAACGATATGTGGGGGCCGTGCCTGCCCCGCCCGCGCCCGCTGGGCGAACCGCCTCCGTCCTCACGGCGCCGCTGCCGCACGACGGGCTCGGCGGGCCGGGCGGCGGGCCGCCTCGGACGCGCGCCGCGGCGGGGCGCCCTCTCCGCGGCGCGGGCGGCGCTCGCCGACGGCTCGACGCTCCGCGGCGACGGCGGTCGCCGACGTCGCAGCCACGATCCTCGACCCCGGGGCCGTCGGCGACACCCGGGGCCGAGGAGAGACGCTCTCGTCGCGCTCGTCGCGCTTCCCCGGTCGAGGATCCAACGTCGGCGGCTCCCCCTCCCCCCCCCCCCCTCCCCGAGGATCGAATGTCGAGGCGTGGCAGCGTGCTTGGTCATGCTTGCGCCTCCCGCAGCCGTGGGCGGCCCCGGTTGACGGCCAGAGGCCGCTCGAGGTCTGGACGCGGACCCCGATCCTCCCCCCCCCTTGTGCTCTTTCTCCTCCTCCTCCTCCTCCTCCTCCTCCTCCTCCTCCTCCTCCTCAGCATCCTTCCCTCCCCTCCTCATTCCCCCCCTCCTCCTCAGTCCACCCTCCTCCTTCGCCTCCGCCTCCTTCATTTCCCCCCCTCCCCACTCGTTCCATGTACCCCTCCGCAGTCCCGCCTCGTCCTCCTCGTCCTTGTCTTCGTCCTCCTCCTCCTCCTCCTCCTCCTCCTCCTCCTCTCCTCCTCCTCCTGCTTGCTCCTCCTTCTCCTCTTGGTCGTCCCCCTCCTCCTCCTCCTCGTCCTCCCCTCCTCCTCCTCCTCCTCCTCCATCCCTCCCTCCCAATGACACATTATCCGTCCTCCTCCCCCTGCTCCCCCTCCTCCGCCTCCTGCCCCCGCTGTCACTCGCTTAACCCGGAGAAGCAATTAAGGACCCCCCCGGCGTTATCATTAGCACCGCGCCGTAATTAAATAATTATTTGGGGGGGTTTTCGCCGAGCGATATTATTAGCACCGCGCAAATGGAAGGAAAATAAATAATTCCAGCGCCCCGCCTCGGGTGGCATCCCAATTAGAATTGTAATGAGAATAAGAATACGAATACGATTACGGAAAAGCTGAGAAAAGCTAAGGAAAAGCTTGTGGGACCTGCGAGACCTGCGGGACTCCGTGGGACCCGTGCGATCTGGTGTACCCCCTCCTGGTGCCAAGATAACGCTTCCGGGTGCCGGGTGCGTTATCCTTTCACCGGAGAGGGGGGGGGGGGTCCTTAATCGCTTACTCGGGTTATCTGCCGCCTCCGTCACTCGCTCGCCTCCACCGCCCCCTCGCCCCATTGATTCCATGAACCGATCTCTCCTCCTCCTCCTCCTCCTCCTCCTCCTCCTCCTCCTCTGCCTTCTCATGACATGCTCACCTTCGTCCCCTTGGAGGCCACGAGCGAGAGGGCGAACGGCTGGATATTCCAAAATTGTCATTACGCTCTTTTCCCCCCCTCCTCTTCCATCAGCGTCCTTGCCCTCCTCCGCCACATCCTCATCCAATCCCCCTCGTTCTCACTGATCATCACTCGTTGCCCCAACCCCCACAACCGCATCACCCTTCCGCCTCCTCACCCCGAACAAGAACCACGCTGCCCCTCCTGCCCCCTGTGCCCGCACGAAGCGTGCGAGCGGGCAGGATGGGAGGGAGGGCGGCGGGGGTGGGTGGGGGGGGAACTGGGAGGGGCGGGTGGCGGGTGGGAAGGAGTCAAGGAGGGCGATGGGGGAAGCAGGAGGAACGACAGAGAAGAAAGGGGGGATAGAGGACCCTCATATACAACTTTGCAGAACAAAAACAACAGCGGACAACAATCAAGGCCAAAACCCGTCTTGCTGCGCCTTTTTTCGAGCCGGATCGATCTGTGAGTGTCCTCGGGCCCGAAAACTGGCGAAAATGCCCAGCTCGAGAAAATCATGAGACCCCTCACCCTTTGAGAGCGTACCTAAGTTGGTTGTTCCAGCAGAAGTACCAAGCCAAACCACAAAGATGAACGATCAATGATGCACAAACAGGGACCTCAACTAGGGTACGTGTTCAGTGTGCTATGAGGGTCAGGGGCCATTTTTCTCGACGACGACGCGACGACGACGACGACGACGACGACGACTTGACGACAACAACGACGACGACGACGCGACGACGACGCGACGACCACAACCACGACGACGCCGACCACGTCCACGACGACGACGACCACGACGACGACGACCACGACGACGCGACGACAACAACGACGACGCCGCGACGACGACGACGACGACGCGACGACACCAACCACGACGACGACGACGAGCACGACGACGACGACGACGACGACCACGACGACGTCGAAGACCACGGCGATGGCGACGGGCGGCGGCTGGGCTGGACGCCGCGAGGCCTTCCTGCGGGGCCCCGCCGGGCAGGCGCTCCGCGAGCGCGCGCAGCGCGGCGCCGCGCCCGCGGGCCTGGCACCGGTGGGCCGCCGCTGCCGCTCGCCGCCGTCCGCCCCGTTCCTGCTGCTGCTCGACGTCAACAGGGCGGGGGCCGGCGGTGCGCCCAATGAGGGGGGGAGGAGGAGGAGGAGGAGGAGGAGGAGGAGGAGGAGGAGGAGGAGGAGGAGGAGGAGGAGGAGGGAGGGGAGGAGGAAGAGGAGGAGGAGAGGAGGAGGAGGAGGAGGAAGAGGAGGGGGAGGAGAAGGAGGGGGAGGAGGAGGAGGAGGAGGAGGAGGAGGAGGAGGAGGAGGAGGAGGAGGAGGAGGAGGGGCGGACCTTCTCAGAGGGCTCGGAGGTCTTCGGCCTTCTGAGAAGTGTTCTGCGCCCTCCCAAGGAGGCACAGAAGACTTCTCAGGAGGCGCGAGGGCTTCCGAAAAGCCCCGTCGCCTTCTGAAAGGCCCCATTGTCCTTCTCACTTCCCCCCTGAGCAATTTCTTGTATCAGCGGGCCCAACAGATCGGGAATATGTGAACCTTGGTCAATCCAGACCTGGGTCAGTGAGGCTTTGCAGAATGCTGCAAAGTCCTGCAGGATCCTGCGCGCTAGCGCCGGTCAATGCACCCACCTGCTCTGCAGGCTACTGCAAGATCCGGCGCCCTGGCTGACCCCCGTTTGCACTGACCCCAGTCTCTTGAGCCCCGAAGCGAACCGAGGCAAGTGCAGGCCGCTATTCGGACAACCAGCCTGCGCGCGCCAGAAGCGCATGGGGGCACGGCGGGAGGCAGGGAGAGCAGAGGGGAACCCAGAGGAACAAGAAAACGACAAAAACATCTACTTGTGGAGCTCCGCGCGGGTCTCTTGTGTCGGCGCTGCCTCCGGCGGCGCCTCCAGCGCGCTCCGCGCGCCACGGAGGGGGCTCCAGCGCCGAGCCAAGAAATCCGACCGGATCCCCAACAGTTCATGTTTATGTTATTCGTTGGTTCTCTACGATGGAAGCCGGCGCGCCCCGTGGGAAATGCCCCCCAAAAAGGCGGGCCGCCTCAAACAGCTCAGAAGGCCCCAGGCCTTCTTCGAAGTTCTCTCTGGGCCTTCTCCGAGGCCCCAGCCCCTTCTCAAGAGGCCTTGTCCCTCTCGCTTCCCCCCTCGGCGCGCCGCCGAGGAGAGATGCGACGACCGCGTCCGAGCGGGAGGGGACAGAACCGACCGTACCCAACTGGAGCGCAGCCACGACCAGGCGGGCAAAAGCGCGAGACCACACACATAAACGCAGTGCTCCACGCTTTCCATGGAGCTACCACGCACACATTGTGATCCAAAGTAACTGTTTGAGGTCCACGCGCTGGCATAAGTTTGGCACCCCGCGTTGTCGGGCTTGAGAACGTCCAAGGCGCCCAACGAAGTTCCAACGATTGCCCCCAAGAAGGCTCTGACGAGCCCCAGAGAAAAACCAAGAGCCCTCCAAGACGACTCCAAGAACCGCCCCAGGAAACTGCCACAGTACCCGCACAGTGACCCCTAGAAGCACCCCCGCGGGCGGCCCCCAAGAGGAAAGGTGGTCTCACGAGGGAGTCAACTAGAAATCCCCGAGACCCCTCCAGTCCACAACACGAGCACGGCAGCGGGATATGCCGAAGCCCACTTGAGCAGTCAGAAACGAAGCCCGCATCATCCCGAATCAACTAGCCATTTTCCGCTGGGGGGCGCAGAAGAGCCCCCCTCTGGACCAGAAAGGCTCTGCATCGATGATGCCCCCGGCCCGCCGCCGCCGCCCCACAGTGGAACCGAACATCCGTCGAAGGGCGGATGTGGCACGGGGCGGCGACGGAGAGTCGGCAAGCCACCGGCGGCGAGCCCAGGGGGAGTCAAAAGGGGCGTCGGCTACACGCAAGAGGGACCCAAGGCAACACTGACTTTCGGTGCGCAGCTTTCTGGGCGACCCAAAAGGGGGTCCAGCTGCAAGGGGGTGGTGCAATAGATTTGGGGCAATTGCACTGCAAGCGTATTGCGCTGGAGAATTGGATTGCCTTGTATTGCAACTAATGTATTGCACGCGAAAATCCAGCAATACATTTGCGCCCCGGAATGTTTTGCACGCCCCAAATGTATTGCAACCCCAAAAATCTATTGCACCAAATCTATTGCACCACCCCCTTGTCGCTGGACCCCCTTTTGGGTCAACCCGAAGCTTTGGGGGGGTGCGGTGGGGGGCCTAACCCAAACACGCAAGCTGCTGCAATCGGAACGCATTCATGCGAAGCCGACAAGACACCCCCAACCCTAATCCCAGACCACCAGGGGGCCCCTTAAGGGCCAGGGGGCGAAACGCGGTGCCGAGCCGTTACGGGAGACCCCTGGACAGCGACCCAGAGGCGGCCACAACCCCCAGAACCCGCGAGGCCATAGATCCCCAGAAAGGGGCCCAGGGATGGCAATGCCGCGACACAGAAGTACACTGCCCCCTCGACAGCGATCGCAATTCCCGCTGCGAGATTTTCAACGACGAGGCGAGGCGAGGCGATGCGAGGACGGGGCAACGCGAAATGGAACAAGTGGGAAGCAGGCGAGGCGAGAAGCGCGAGACGGAGATGAGGGCAGCGGGAAAGGCCAACGCATGGACTCAGGACTGGAAGAGCAGTGGCACGGGGAGGAAAGAAAGGGGACCGGGAGGAGGCGGAAGCGGATGGAGCTTATGAACATGTAGTGGCCCAGTTCTGCTCATTCCTGGGATTCCTGGCACCCCTGCTCCTCCCCTCACTCTCCTCCTTCTGTCCTTCCCTGTTTTCCTCCTCGTGATCGTGCTTATTTATTTGTCGCATTGTGTTTGTTTTCCGTTCTCTTCTTGAACCCCCCTCGCTTGCATCTCCCCTCCCTCCTCCAGGCAAAGACGACGATAACGACGATTGGGGCCCTCTGGGGACCATCCGGAAGCTCTCCTGCAACCTTCCTGAGACGTTCCTGAGAACCTCCTGAGGACCTCCTGGGTTAGGACGCCCTCCCACTACCATCCACAGCCCCTCCTGGGACCATTCCGGGACCCTCCTGAAATCTCCCCGGGGCCACCCCTTGGGGCCCAGGCACCCTTCGGGACTCTCCTGGGGCCCAGCCCGGACTCTCCTGGGACCCCCCTGGGATTGGGCCTGACGCCTTTTCGTTGTAATTGTTGGCTTCTTGGCCTAGGGGCGTCGTGGACTCAGCGGGCTCTCCGCCATTCGGCGCGGCTGCCGGTGTGTCGGTTACTTCGGCGTGGTTGGTGCCCGCGTTGTGCCCGCTGAAGATGCTCCCGGTGTTTCCCGGGGAACGCTCAGCCAGGTGTCCACGGCTGCGCATTCACTCCAGGAGTTGGTCGCGCTGTTGTTGGGCGCGGGGCGTCTTGTGATTCACCGGTTGGAGCAGCTGCGCTGCTCGGGAAGTCCTCGCCCCCAAGGCGCGCAATAATATCAAAGTACGGATCTGGAAGATGGGTATGTTGAAGCCAGCTGAATCTGCTTCCAGCCTGACCATTTCGAATCGGGCCTGTATTGGGTCGATGCGTTCGCCCCGATGAAGGCTGTCCCCGAAGTGAGCTGCCGCTCATCCTCAAGGTCTTCAATGTTAGTGTTTAGTAGGTACATGATGTATGTGACTCCATCGGTGACTCCCCTGTGAAGTGGCACCATGATTGATGATGGTGAACGGCACATTCATGGCTAGTGCCCTGGCGATCCCCCTGGACCGCGCTGTAAGGTAACGGCCTGTTGGGGTGGAGTCATGTTTCCGCTAGCGACGTTAGGCCATGCGTGTACTTCGCGAACGAAGTCGTGGAAGGGTCCGTTGCCTGCGGAATCCCAGTGGGCCCCGCGTACGCGTTTCATCAAATCCTCCTCCTCGCACGTATGCCATGGCAAGGCCTAGGCACATTCAAAAGGTTCCAACAGTAGCGACCTTAACGTACTGCATGGTCATGCCGCAGCTGGTGATGTCAAGTTTCGTCTCGTCTGATACTGTCGCGCCGATAAGGGTGCGACTTGGTATCTGATCTGACGTGGCCATCCGTTTGCGGATGGGTATCGGCATTTGGCTCGTGCGTGACATGTGGCCACGCGGTGGGGAAAGGGAGGTGCAGGACTGTAGGTTGCCAGCTGGCTCAAGAGCATCGGGCATGTAGCGATTGAGGGCCAGCGCTGTCGGGTACTCCACTCTTCCGTGGTATATTGCAATGTACATAACACATGAAGTAACAACCAACCACACGAAGAAACAAATCGCCAACTCCGCTGCCAAATGAAGAAAAACAAGGGTGAGCGGCTTGATCATGAGGTAATAAGCCGGGAACGCTACTCTTAGGAAAACGTCGGCGACGTATCAAGGTATCCCACAACCCATCCCTCGACTGCAACCAACGCGAGAGGTAAGAGACAAACCATAACATGGACGTGGATTTCTTGATGTAGATGATCCATTTAGAGTCGCACACAATCGTGCAAATGGCAAATAGGGTTGCGCAATCTTGAGCCAAGGCAACGTCGTATATACCTTTTCCGCATATAGCCTCTCTTTGAATCTCGTTTACAGTTCGAGCGAACATTCGGGGGCCAACGACATTTACACGTACAAATAGCCACTGGCGCTGGCCAGGCCCATCCTGGGCCTGGCCAGCGGTGTATCATGTTAGATCGGGGCTAACAAAACCGAGGGGGGCGCGCGTTATATATATATATATATATATATATATATATATATATATATATGAACGCGTTCCCCTGTTGGGGCGAATCGCACGGTGGCGCCCGCCAGATTGAGAATCAACGGGGCGGCGCCGATGACTGGCGCCGACGCCTGACCGCCAACGAGGGGCAAAGGGGGGCTGCTTGGAGGCAAAGGTGAGCCAGGGCGCCCCTCTTTCTGTCGAACCTATGCGCGCCTGCGGGCAAGGCGGGGTGGACGAAAGCGGGGCGCAGGGGATTTGCCAAGCAGCTCACATCGCCGATTTTTCAAGCGCCTTCTGGCGCCGAAAGCGGCCATGCGTCGAGGACAATCCCTTCGGCGGGGCGACCGAACCCAGACGACGCAGCAGGCTTCGCAACCCCCCCTTTCCTTCCCCAGCCTTTCGTCCGCGACCCGAGCAAGGCGGGTAGTCCTCCTTCTCCCCCCTTTAGTCGCCGCCGTCGCCGCCGTCTCCCGCCCTGCCTGCGTTCGTTTCCAACGGTCGCTCTCTTCGTCGCTCGGGCCTGGGTGTTTTTTTCGCCACGGCGGAAGCGCGCCTTGAAGAAAGCGGGCCCCGGATCCCGGAGGGCACCCTCGGTCGTTTTTCGGCATCGCGGCCCGCCAAGGGCCGTAGAGGGGGGTCCGCCGAAGGCCTTAGCCTTAACGGCCCGAAATCGAGGAAAGCCCACCACGGCCCACTTCCTTCAGAACGCGCGCCCGCCGCCCGCGGTGGGGCAGGTCGAGGTTTGGCGCGTCCGACATGGGCGTTGGGAAACATGGTCGCACTGTCCGTCCACAAGCAAATGGTTGTCCTCCCCTGGCGCTCGTGATAATATATATATATATATATATGTGTGTGTATGTATGTATGTATGTATGCATGTATGTATGTATGTATGTATGTATGTATGAATGAATGAATGAATGAATGAATGACTGAATGAATGAATGAATGTATGTATGTATGTATGTATGTATGTATGTATGTATGTGTATATACGTATATATGTATGTATGTATGTATGTATGTAGGTAGGTAGGTAGGTAGGTAGGTAGGTAGGTATGTATGTGTATATATATGTATATATACACATATTCCAAGTCCTATGTGTTTGTTACCCGGACCCCCCCCCCTTACATCCCGGACCCCCCCCCAAAAGGACACCGCAGACGCCCTTTCAGACGTTTCGGTTACCTCCTGGACGCCTTTGGAAAAGACCCGCTGGCCCTTCTGGGCCTCCCAAGGCGCCTTGCCGGGCCTTGCGAGCAGACTCAAGGCGATCTGAGGGGTCATCGGAGAGGCGCAAGAGAGACCCAAGACAGCACAAGAGCGCTCCAAGAGGAACCTCGAGTGTCTGAGGACGGACCCAGAGGCCTCCAAGACGCCCCAAGAGGCCGTTAAGAGAGCCCCGGAGAAGCAAACACCTCCCATTCCCGCAGGAAAATGTATATGTTCAGCATATCCGGTTTTTGACTCTTCGCAGCGTCCAGGACGGCCTGATGGGCCCCAGATGTCGCCCCAGGACGGCCCAAGAGGCCCCCCAGAGGGTTTGAAGACGGCCCAAGAGGGCCCCAAAAGCGTCCCAGAGAGCCCCGAGACTGCCCACAAGAAGCCCAACATGCCCCCAAAAGGCTTCCAAGAGAGACCCACGAAAGCCATGGGAGACCCTCGAGAAAGCCACTGGAGGCCCCCAAGAGGGCCCAAAATGGCTTCAGAGAGCCTCTGGAGGGCCCCAACTCCCCAAGACGGCCCAAGAACGCCCCAGGACGGCCCAAGAAGGCCCCAGGACGGCCCCAAAGAGCCCCACAAACGCCAAACGGCGCCTTCCTTCGAAGTACATCGAGCTGATCCGACGATCTTGATTCCACGCTTGGGGTTCGAGGTTTAAGTTCCTCGATCGACAGAGACAGGCAATGGATCGAGATTCGAAGTTCGACGATCCAAGATTTCCTGGGTGCATGGAGCCCTCTAGGCATTCAGGAAGCGACCGAACATCGATTTGTTTGGAACTACTGCGGTTCCTTCGGCGTGTCCTGGGAACGCTCCATACTTCCTCAAAGGACCTTCGCGCATGAAACAAATCATCCTTCCTTCCCCATTCCTGCGCACAAGCGTGCAAGCGCATCGGGCGAACGAGGTGTCAGCAGGCACCATGGGATATCAGAAATTGAGCCGGTCGCCCGTCCAGGCCTCGAGGTCCCCCCTGCTGAAGTAAGCGATGATTTACTGCTTTGCCGGAGAGGGTCCAGAACAAGGCGCATGGAGCGAAGCGCCAATGCAATCTTGTATATATATATATATAGATAATCGCGCCCCGCGGGGTCTACCGGTCATTTGTTAAACACAAGCTGACATTACGCCCCCTCTGGCTTAGGGAGGCATACACACACCGGACCTGGCCCACCTGGGTACAAGATGGGACTGGACCGCGGAGGTGGAAATGTATAGATCTCGTCGCCCAACTTCCAATCTCGAACCTCGAACGTAGGACAAGAATAATCTCAAAAAAAGATCGCCTCAAGACATGTTCCAAGATTTCGAAGGAGTGCCCAGCAACCGTGGTTTCTGCAGCCCGTGTGGAACAGCAGGGAACTTGGAAAATCCTGGAAATCTTGCAACGTATCAATATCATGCCCTCTTGCTCCCCGGACCTCTCCCGGAATGCGCTCCAACCAGGATCTCGAAGCGAATCCGGCAGGGGCGACGAAACCTCCCAGGAAGCCCAGAAAAGGCGAAAACGAGGGAAAGGTGGATGTATGCGCTCAAGATAAGCATGAGGGTAAGCATGAGGGAAACGAGTCCTGAGGGAAACGAGTCCTGGACCCTGGGGCTTTCCCCCAAGACGACTTCCTCATCCCGACTCGTTTCCTGACGCTCCCGGGGCCCGCAGAGGGCCCCGACGACCCGAAGACGGCGAAACACCTGAGGACCCGTTTGTCTCAGAACCCGCTTCCCCCATGGCGAACCTCGGACCTCGATCGACGGCGACCGACCACGGGGTCGGCGACGGGCAAGCTGCAGTCCGTGCGCACTGCTCTTGGCGGGTGCCCCCGTGCCTCCCTTCCAGCGGCGAGCGCTCCTTGACCGCTGCGATGCTTTTGTTAGGACGAGCCGAGCTGGTACCGTAGGCACGGCGACCGAATCGTTTCCTGACGCTCCCGGGCCCCGCAGAGGGCCCCGACGGCCCGAAGACGGCGAAACACCTGAGGACCCATTCATCTCAGAACCCGCCTCCCCCATGGCGAACCTCGAACCTCGATCGACGGCAACCGGCCGGCGGCGGCGGCGCGGCGCCTTGGCTGCGTCCCAGGGCGTGGCCCCCCCGTGCGCGGGGCGCGCGAGGTCGGCGCCGCGCTCGGCCTGCGCAGAAGGCCGCGAGAGGAGGGCGCCGCGCTCGTCCTCGCCCTCGCTCTCGTCTGCCTCGCACTCGTGCTCGCTCTCCTCGACCTCGGCCTCGTGCTCGTCCTCCCCTCCTCCTCCTCCTCCCCCAGGTCCTCCTTCTCCTGCCCCTCCTCCTCCTCCTCCTCCTCCTCCTCTTTCTCCTCCCCTCCCTCCTCATCGTCGTCCTCCCGTCCTCGTCCTCGTCCTCCCCTGCTCGTCTTCCTCGTCCTCGTCCTCGTCCTCGTCCGCCTCGTGCTCGTTCTCCCCACAATGAGGCAGTTCCTTGAAGGTTTTCGTCGGAGAGATTACAAGCTACTGATCCAGACTCGGGGGCCATTGGGCCAGATCAAGCCGTAGTGCGTTCGGGATTGAGCTGTTTTAAATGGGAAGCCAGGTCAAGCGGGACTGATCCGGATCGCAAGGGATGGAAGCATCCAGGGAAGCAATCGATTCGCCCACACGGGCGATCCACCGAACAGTGCTTGAAGCTATTTTGCATTGGTTCGCCAGCAGCTTCAAAATAACAGAGGATACGGACGTAGCGCGTTGGCACGACATTTGGCGACAGCGTCGGCGGCATCATTGTCTAGCTTGTATTTTAGCGAGTGCCGACCTCTGCATGACACGTGCTTAGACCTTCCTCAACTCAGGCGGATCCCCCCCAGTCGTCAACCTTGTGCCAGACACGTCGCCACAAGCACGCCCGAGCAGCAGACGATGCGTGGTGGCTTCTGGCCCACGGAAGTTATATTTATCCACACGAAGTCCGAGTCCGTGAGGAGTACAACAGGAAGTACGGCATGCAAAAGAGCCCAAGCAACGCATACAGTTCAAGTCAGCCATTGTCCAGTAACGGAGATGGAAAGAAACCCGTGACAGCAGAGGATTGCCGACCAGCTTCAGACCCGGATCCTCATGATACTCCAACAATAACCTCGGCGGCTTGGGAAGAGGCAGCAAAGCACGGTCGAGAAGCGCACATGCCAGGTCGTTGGCGGCAGCTGGTTCGACAAAAGCTGCGATGGGTACTGGGAGATTCACAAATAACCTAAAGCATGGCCTCGCAGCCAGCATGCCAGTGCAGATGCCATTGGACTCAAATACAGGCGCTGCGAATGTAACCCCGCTGCTTCCAAGTTCGACCTCCTTTGGCCCTGCGGAGAAACTCCAGAGGGATGATCCAGAAACCACCACGAAACTCAGGAACACTTTCAAATGCTCAGGAATCCGCAGGTACAACCAGCCCCTGACGGCATGCCCCAAACACGCCATAAACACTCTAGAGCAACTGTCTTCCAACTGTCTTCAGTACCATACCATTGGGAAGCCTCCAGACCATCGCTTGCTCAAACGTAATGCCTACTCTGTCGAAGGTGGCGTACAAGACTCCGACAGTGCCCCGCGCTTGCGGCCACTTGCTCTCGTCGCCAGCAGCCGCCTGCTCAAGCCCACGAACGAACACATGCCTAGGGGTGCTGCTACACCCCAGGGCATGGGCAAAAGCCTTGATGGACTCGAGGGTGGTCCTCCAACTGGGGTCGGACTGGTGCTGCGGAGCAAAAAGGAGCGCAAGGGTGGGGCTCTTGCCGCTGATCTTCGCGTTGAGGGAAGCGGGCACCTCAGAACGCAATGTATCAAACTCTTTGACACTGGTTCCCTGAACAGAGGTCCCGAATGTAACAACCGTTTCCAGCAGATCCTGATACATCAACGCCATTGTTTTTCTCCGAGCCGTGCCCCTTGGAGGTGCTGCAAGGGATCGACTACAGAATTTATGCACCCCCAAATTAATATGTCCGTGTCTATGTATTGCTCGTCGGTTACACGGAAAATCAAGTTTGGGGTGAGTTAACTGATGTGGTCGATCACCTGTACGATACATGCGGTCGGACCTAAGGAAGAAGAACGCCGTTCAAGAACCAGAGACCCTCCCCAGGCCCAAACCCACAGAACATCCCAGGGTACTCTCCCCCAGGATGCACAAGAGCATCCAACACACGCGAAGAACATCAGGGTACCCTCCCCGAGCCGACCTCGATCTCATACCTCGGCCCGGCAGCACGTAAGGCGCCGAACCAGCAGCTCTTTGTGGATTCTGCGGCCCTGGCGGGAGCCCCGTGCGGGCGGAGCGGCAGAGCGCGGGCCACAGAATGGCAAGCTGGGCACCAAACAGAAAACCACTAACACATCAAAAAGGAAGGCGTACCCCCCCCTCGAAAAAAACACAACAAACTGACACTATGTTCAAGGGGACATTATCCAATCAAGAAATCCCAGGACAACAGAAGCCTGCTTTGGATTTTTCTTCCATAAGCTGTTATACGTTTGGCATCGGGGAACCAGTCTCGGGCTCTGGGACAACCAAGCGACGACTCGGAATGAGCATCCAGCCCCGAGGAAGGAGTCTCGGGAAGTAGTCAGGGGCCCGTGCCTCGAGCAGATCGAGCCTCCGGAGATCGCGAGACGATCAGAGGGGGAGAGGAGGGGTGGAGGAGGGAGGGAGGCGTCAGGAGGGTGAGACGTGGCTCCAGCTCTCTTCCTGCTTAAGCGTGCCCCTTCGCCAGCCCAACGGAGGCGTCCAGAGGGCATGGCTGTGTCCACGGGGCGGCCTAGGCGTCTCTGCCAGGCGTGACTCGCCGACCAATCGGAGGTGTCTACTACCAGGCGTGTCTACAGCGTTTCGGCTAAGACGTCCTCCTATGTTCGAGTCACGAGGCTTGCAATTCTCCAGCATCTACACGTGTAATTAGGGCGTGTGGCTCTCAAATCTGGCTCTTGCCTGAAAAATCCCCGCGCTGTCTCAGGCACAAGCAAAGCATCCGACTAATTATACAAATCGACGGCGGGTCATGCCTACTGCGTGGCACTCGCATGTAACAGGCTCATATCGGAAACACATGAAGGCATATTTAACTTCTCAACAAATACATGGATGAACAGCGGGTGGCTTTCCATGGTCACACTGCAAACATCCTCGCGCTGTATTGACCCGCCGTCTTGGAATGTCAGACAAGAGCAAGCCCCTTCCCAGCAATCGAGCTCTCGCGTGAGCCCTATTTAGGGTTCCAAAGTTGTAAGTTCCATCAGCTACAAGGACGAAGGGCGGTTCCCTCTCGAATCCGTCTCCCCACTCAAGCACCGGCACATTCTCGCAAAGCCTGTACCTGTACAGGCCAAGAAGAAAACGGATCGATGGCTCTCCCCTCCTCTCATCCCCCAGCTGCATCTTGCCGAAATCTGCGCTCGAGAAAGATTACCTTGATCGGTGATGCGTGCTGCAAACTGAAAAAACGGGGGCGAACTGAGACATCGGCAACCCAAATCTGTCCCTGGACCCCTCCCAGAGGGTCCAAAGCAGAGTGCGATCCCTTTGTTATGGAAACAAAAAATTTGAGGTGACTGTTTTCTGTTTGCGAGCGGGAAATATGCTTGTGTTTGTGGCATTGTAGGCGGGGCCCCTGGGCCGCGACCCTGCGAATACAAGGCGGCTCTTCGTGGGTGTCCCGCGCAGAACGTATCCGCGGGACCGCCTGTCCGCGGGATCGCACCCTGGACTCGCCGCTCGTGACCTGCTCGTGGCCGCGACAGAAACTCAGCAGAGGCGGCGTCGTCGTCTGCCGGCCAGCATGAGTATGACGTCGGCGTGGCCACCGTACGCAGCCTCGCGCAAGGGGGGGCGCGGGTGCCAGAGGCGGCTAGAGAGGGCCGCGGGGCCCGGACACCTGGTGTCCAGGAAACAGTCGGAACGACCAACTCTCCGAATCATTCGAGGGCGAGCCTAACTAGGGGGCAAGGGGGCGGGTTTTCCGACCTTCTCCGAAGACACGAACGGCTTCTCCAAAGACACCACTCCGCTGGGGGCCCCCCAGGAGCCCGCGAAAGACGTGGCACTCTCACAGTTCAGAGACCCCCTCGGAGCCGTGAGGTCTGGTTTGGATGTGCGTGAGACACCACTCCGCTGGGCCCCCAGGACCCCAGGGGCCCACGGAAGTGGCGACAGTTTCAGTTCGCAGGCCGCGAGGGACGGCGAGGGGCGAGGTCTCTTTCTGCTTTGCGCAAGACGTCAGTTCGCTGGACCCCCGAAGAACCCACGAACGTGGCGACAGCTTCAAGTCGCAAACCGCGAACGCACGGCGAGGTCTCATTCTGATCCGCGTAAGACGTCACACCGCTGGACCCCCAGGAGCCCACGAAAGTGGCGACTGCTTCACAGTTCGCAGCCCCCTAGGCAGCGCGAGCAGGAGGAAGGGACAAGAAGGCGAGAGAAGGAGGAGGAAGAGGAGGAGCAGGAGCAGGAGGAAGAAATGAGAGGCAGACAGCAGGAGGAGGGAGGCGGGATGAGGAGGAGGAGGAGGAGGAGGAGGAGGAGGAGGAGGAGGCGGAGGAGGAGGAGGGAGGCGGGAGGAGGAGGAGGAGGAGGAGGAGGAGGAGGAGGAGGAGGAGGAGACGCACGAGCACTGCTCTATTATAAACGAGTGCTCAATCAACGGAGGGCTGGGGAAAACAACTTCTTGGCCCCCGGAGGAGGAGGGGTCGAAAAATGTCTAGAGGTCCGGTGGCCCACGTCTCAGGAACCGCTCCACCGGATGTCTGAGGTGGGAGGCGAGACGCGGAGGGCTGGCGGAGTGGGGCGCGCGCCGCAGTGGCCAGGCTGTCTGGGGGGCGGCACCAACGAGGCAGGAGGAGCATGAGGACGACGAGGAAGGCGGGGTGCGACAGCAACGGGCATCATCACGGGGAACGGCAGGACGCCGACGAGGACACGGAACGAGAGGCCCGGAAGGGTGGGAGGGATGAGGAGGCGGAGGAAGTCGTTTTCTGCGAGGACATCCCCCGCGCCTGGGGGGGGTGGGGGCCGCGTACCCCACGACCCGCGGCGGCGACGACCGCGGCGCCCGCCAGCGCCATGCCCACCGGCGCTGCCTGGAAAACGAGCTACGAATGTATTGGCAGCGCCTCGAGCTGCCCGAAACTTTACCCACGACTGGCACGTCCGCCCGCATCGTGGAGACCAACTACCCGCACAGCAAGAACTCGCCCTGGAGCCCGTGAACCGGGTACTGCGGCAAGACGCCAGCTCGCCTATCCAGCGAGAAGGGGCAATGACCTCGCCTCTGTGCCGGCCAGAGACCTGGCCATGCTCATCGCCTTTACCCTTCTGGGCAAGAAGGACAGCGCCGCGCACACCAAGGAGGATCACAAGCGCATCATCGTCCAGACCGTCCCCGCTGCCCCTTCGCCACGTGCCTGTCCGCCAGGCACCTGGACGTAGAACTTCGAGCCCGCCACCCACTTCGGCTACACCCCCCCTGTGGCGAGGCCCAGGCCGGCGGGGCACAAGAGGTCGCTCATCCCGACTGTCGCCAAGGCGTTTTCAGCATGCCGAGAGAGAGGCGACCATCCTCGGGCCGTCCTCGACCTGCAGATCGTGCCGCCCCACCTTCCCATCTCGGCCGACATCCTCAGCGAGACAGCGTACGATTTCGGCCTCATGCACCAGCCTGCCGCCTGCCAGAGGTTTGAGGCGCAGAAAAGCAAGGGTATAAAATCTCCATGGTCCTACCTTGGCTTGGCGGCGCCGCGCGAGAGAGCATTGGTTTCCACGGCTCAGCCAGCGACAGCACCAACCAGGCAAACACCAACCACCACGACCGAGGAGACCGACGACATCCGGAAGCTGGAGGTACCAGAAGATGAGGATCCGACTACCTGGAGCGTTCTTTTTACTATCCGCTGCCATACCGGGTGTTATAGGGTGGGGAGGGGGGGGGACGGGAGAGGGCATAACGAGCGCCCCCCCCCCCCCCCCAGACTGTGGTGCCAGACGCACTGAGGGGGGGAGCGTCACGTTATGGAGGGGGATGGGAGAGGGGGGTGGGAGGATAGGGGGCATAACGCGCGTGATGGCCCAGAGGCTGCAACAAAACACTTTCCTGCCTCGCTGCCGCGGCCGCTCCCCCTCCAGCCGGAGGAGGGGAGGCTGCAGCTGGCAGGAGCGACGCCTCGCTCTCTGCTAGCTCCAAGGGTCCGCCCGCCCCCTTTGCCCCCTTGGGCGCTCCACCCCGGAATGGACCCGGGCAGGAGGCTAAAAAGAGTTCGGATAGAAAAGAAGAAGCACAACTGCATCACCACAAACTTTCGGAGCTCCGCGCGAATTTATTTGATCTGCGCCTGAATCCCGGGCGGCGCTGGAGGCGCCGCCAGGGGGTCCGAGAGAACAAGACCACGACTCAGGGGACGATAAAAAACAAGAAAACAAAACAGGGTCAGAGAAAACGAGACCACGACCGAGGAGCCAAGAAAACGAGAAAACAAGACAACGAACCAGGGTCCGAGAAAACGAATCAAAAACCCAGGGCTAGGGCCCGAGAAACCGAGACCACCACCCAGGGGCCGAGAGAACCGAAAGCGTGAAACGCACCAGGGCCCGAGAAAACGAGACTACGACCCAGAGGCCGAGAAATCGAGAAAACGAAGAAACTAACCACAATCCAGGGGCCGAGAAACGGAGAACGCGAGAAACTGAACCAGGGTCCGAGAAAACGTGACCACGATCCAGGGGCCGAGAAAACAAAAAACGAACCAGGGTCAGAGAAAACGAGAACACGCCCCAGGGGCCGAGAAAACGAGAAAACGTGAAAACTAACCAGAGTCCGAGGAAATGCGACCACGACCCAGGGGCCGAGAAAACAAGAAAACGAGACCACGAACCGGGGCCTGAGAAAACGATACAAAACCCACAAGCCGAGACGACGAGAAGACGAGACAACAAACCAGGGTCCGAGACAACGAGACCACGACCCAGGGGCAGAGAAAACGAGAAAACAAACCAGCGTCCGAGAAAACGAGACCACGACCCAAGGGCACAGAAAATGCGAAAACGAAACAGGTCCGAGAAAACACGGCCACGACCGAGGGGCTGGGAAAACGAGGAAACGAGAAAACGAAGCAGGGCCCGAGAAAACGAGACTACGAACCAGGGGCCGAGAAAACAAGAAAACGCGAAAACGAACCCAGGTCAGAGAAAACGAAACTACGACCCAGGGGCCGAATGTGGACACATACATGATCGCGGGCTCAGGGTCTTGGGCCCCCCCCCCAGGATGGGATGGGTCCCAGGGTCCTCGGCCCCCCCCCCAAGATGGGATGGGGACGAGGAGGAGGAGGAGGAGGAGGAGGAGGAGGAGGAGTAGGAGGAGGAGAGGAGGAGGAGGAGGAGGAGGACGACGACGACGACGACGACGACGACGACGACGACGACGACGACGACGACACCGACAACAACGACGACAACGACGACGACGACGACGACGACGACGACGTCGGCGGCACCACCAGCGGCGGCGGCGACGACGTCGAGCACCGGAGCTGTCAACATGACGCCAATCCCAGCCACACGCCGCACCCACACCGCACCCACAGAGGGGGAGGGAGCGGGGGAGGAGGACCATGGCGTCACCCCGCACACACCCACATCAACACACCCACACCCACACCCACACCACATCCACAGGGGAGGGGGGGGAACCACCCCACGCCACGCCCACGCCCACAGGGGGGGGGGCATCGCGCGGGGGAGGGGGGGGGCCGATGGCATTAGCATTGGGGGGGAGGGGGGGGCCCAAACCCTCGACCACACGTGGCGGGGCGCGCGAGCGATCCATGGCAGAGCGTGCGAGCGATCCATGGCAGGGCGTGCGCCCCTGCCACTCGTTCGCGAGCGGGGGGAGGGGGGGCCCTGCCGACCTCCCCACCCTGGGATGTTTTATTTTTGGCGGGGGTCACCCCTTCCGACCCCCCCTGGGATTTCTGTTGTCGGGGGGTGTTCCCCCCCTTCCGACCCCCCTCTGTTTTTTTTGTGGGGTATCGCTCTAGCCACATTTTGCACGACTATTCTTGTAGTTACTTGGACCATATCGTCATGTGCGGCAACCACGATGATGGTGACCGTCTGCAGACCACGACGAAACTCCCTTACAACAGCCCGATACCGAACGAGCCGTAGGCGCTATGGGAACCGAAAGGATGTACCAGAGGGGGCTTGGAACGTGCACGGCCCCACCACCTACAACCTCATCAAGTTCATGGACATCGCCTTCGACTGGCACTACATCGACCACGATGGGGGCGACAACAGGGAATCTGACTACAAGGTAGAAGGCAAAAATGTCCGCCGAGACGGTGTCGCGTACTTCGAGTTGGCGCCAAGAAAACGCAATATGGACCAACATACGCAAGGAAGAAGAGCCAGGGAACCAGTCGTGCAAGGGCATACTATACCGTCGCGGCATGAGGTTACCACCGGTGCGCTTCCAAGCCGCTAGCGAATCCACGATCCAAATGTGTGCATTCTGCGCACCTTCGCCGTGTATGTCCGCCCGTGCATGCTCACGCGCCCCCGAACAACAAAATACGCTCCCTCCAACGCGTTTCACCTTCACCTCCTCCCTATCCTGCGCGCACGTGTGCCGTGTGCGGCCGTGTGCGATACTGGGATCAGGCTCGTGCCTACACTGACTGTGACACCACAGGGCGGCCGCGAGGACACGCACACTGCGGCCTGCGCATTACTTACAGACTGGATACCCCGCCGGCCAGCCAGCCTACATCCGCGACCTACTACTTTGAGAACTGTATGTGCCCGCATGAAGATCCAAAGCT